TCCTTTTGACAAGAAATCAGTCGGTAATATAATCTAGCCAAACTTAATTAAATAGTTGTACAAATTTATAGCTTATTTTTTGAGAAAATGCCCGATCTTGCCATCATTTGGCCTTCTGATTGCTGTACAGTATGATATATGTTCATGTTCATTGACATTTGGATTAATCTTTCTGTCAGGTCCTGTATAACATTCTTGATTGGCCCATCAAGCCAAATTCAAACCTAGTTACCATAGGTACCTATCAAAGATTAAAATCGCAGGCGAAACTACAGCTTCTTCGCCGAAAACCGGCGGCGGTGACCAAGGATCCGGCAAGCTGGAGATAGTGACGGGCGAGGCTGCAAGGTGACGTGACGAGCGAGAAGTCCACGATGTCATCTCCAACTCCCAGTACGCCTGCAGATACAGGCAAGCCCTCTGTGTTGAACTGGTGCAGACCTTAATGGACGTGGTGTTGTGGAATTGGTGATGCTTCTTTTTGTTGAACTGGTAGAGACCAAAAATCCTCTGTTTCTCGGACAAATATGAACATATACTAATTGCCGATAGGACACCCTTCATTCTGTTGTTTGGCAGTGACGATGTGACCTTTGCCGTAGCTCAAGGAGTCCCCACATCTTCCTTGGCAGTCCAAGTCCAAGTACCTCTAAATCTCATACCTGCAGTGCAGTGGCCAAATGTCCAAGCACCCAAGCCCTGTCTACATGTATGTATAGTAAGTTCACTTCCTCTGTTTCTGTTTCCCACCTTATACTCAAGTTTGCCGTTGTGGCCATATTGTTCCGTTTCCAGTGATGAGCGTTATATTGGGAAACTAAGAAGCTCCAGACAAGGCAAACACAACACACTAGAAAATTCCGAGAATGCGGCAAACACCAACATGCAAGAAAATTCTGAGACAACTAGTTCATCGCCACCGTCGCCGGATTACCCATGTTGATGTGTGTATCCTAACTACGTATAGGCTGGATGCGTGATCATTGGTTTTGTAACCCCTCATAGTCATTTATAAAGGTTGTTGATGTTTTTTTTTTGAAGGGAAAATCACTTGGCACTTTATTGCGAGTTTAGGAGTATAGCATCCTGTAGTACATGCGGGATCAGGAAGCTAGCGGGATCATCGGCCCAATTATACATCAAATTTGAATCACACGCATGTCTAGCTAAGAAATGTGCCAAGCCATTAGCTTCCCTTGGGCAGTGCTGAAAACAGATTGAATTTCCTCTTCGCCGTTTGTTAAACCTTAGGCAACTGTATATTTCCTAATAGAGCTGGTACATCGGAGAGATCATGCTGGCCCAGGTTCATTTTTTTCCGCTGGAAAGGAGGTTGGGTGATAGCAAGTAGAATGGTGGGCTCGCCCCCTTCCGCTCCTAAATAGGCCAAGCCTGACAACACAACAGAGTTTTTCTATTTTTTATTTCCTTTTCTTATATATCTATAATTCAAAATTGGCTAAATCCATATGCATTTTGAAAAAAATGTTAAAATATTACATAACCTGGTTCAAATAAAGTTGCAAAAAATAAATCAATGTAAGTTCGTAAAATGTGTTCTGGTATTTTAGAAAATGTTCATTAAATTTAGAAACATAGTGTTTACAATTCTTTTCTCTAAATGTTCATGTGATTTAAAAAAATGTTCATGTATATATTTTTTTAAAAGGTCATGTAATTTAGAAAATATTCACACATTATCAAATAATGTTAACTCTATTATATATTTCAAATTATATTCATGCATTATTAAATAATGTTCACTTAATTAAAAGCCATTTCAAAAAAATTATCATCATTTATTTAAAATAAATGATGTGTGTAGTCCCAGCCTGTGCATCGTTTAGCTTCAACAAGGCATTAGCTTCAGTCTAGTTTGACTTTAGTAGTTGCCGGTGTGATTTCGCATGTGGATGCTGGTGTTGCTGTGTGTATCCTGACTACTAATTTCTCCTAACTTACACATACCTTTCGTAGAAATCCTTCTTTTGTTAACTTGTATAGTTATTCTCTGCATGGTTCTTTGCTATAGTATGTTCATCAAACAAGAATATATATCATTCATACCAATCCAGGATCTTGTTGTACGACACTTCAAAAAGTTTCCTTTCCACAAATTAAAAACAGAATATTTCAGATGCAATAATGTGTACTGTATTGCAAATTCTTGTGCAGAAACAAATATGGCATATAGCTAATGAAGAATAGAAAAAAAAATCATCACCCCAAAAAAATTTACAAGGGGCCCTCCAGATAGGGTGATCGTGCCCACCAAGAATAGGGCTGCCAGGTTGGCGAGGAGCACCACTAGGATCCACCAGAGCACGCCGGATCTCCCTTCCAGTCGACGCCTAGAGAAGTATCACAGAAGGTAGAAGGTTCCAGCCGTTTTGGCGGGCATTGTGTTGCATGCGAGAAGAGTAACTAGTTAGGTAATATCTCCAAGAGATCCAAGGTGGTGTGAACTATGAAGAAGAAAGGAATGTGTGAACATTGAACTTTGGAGGAGCTCGATGTTGTGGAGAGGCCCAACGATACAACTCGCTCTACCTGGTGAACGAGGTAGCAATTAATATAGGTGTATGTATGTGGCGTGGTGGGGGGCATATGCCCTCCTGGCCCATATGTAGCGGATATGAAAATTCTCACATAGTGGGGCATTGCGCTCATGGGATGGAGTAGATATGGCTTCTAACAATGTGACCTCCTTCAACACCTCGAATCTTGTGGAGAACACATCAAAATCACGCCCTTGAGACAAGGCAAGCACGCGGCAAACCCACACAAGAAGCCTAGGCGTTGCTTGCAAGGCCACGCCATGCATGTCTTGGATGATAGGACATGCCGAAGATAGGAGAATGCATGTACGTACTTTCCCTGCCTATGTTTTCTCAGAAGCGGTGATCCCTACTGTCTGTTTCTGTTCCACGGATGCTGAGCTTTGGTGAGAAACTTTTTAGGCGGATCTAGAGACAGAAGAAGTGTACGCTCTCATGAAGCTGCAGCCGTTGAACCTAGAGCAGATCTTCCACGAACCGCTCGCTGAGATGGGCATCGTGAACAAGCCAGTGAATTACTATTGGAAGACGATGACGAATAGCGATGTCAATACTAGCCGGGGGTGGTCTGTGCCCCGCGATGTAGCTGAGCGCTTGTTCCCGCCTCTGGTATAACCTTCTCCACTTCTCACCCTCTCTGTGACCTTTTGATGTTACTAGTAAGATTTATTTTGTGTCAGGATTTCACACAGACACAGCAGCAGGACCTATTTGTGTGCGACATTCATGATGTTCAAGCACTGGTGCCGAGGCAGGTTTCAACAACATGCCTCCATTCTTTGTGTTTTTTACATTGGCCTAATGAGGTTTGCGTTTTTTTTACCAAAATGGCACCGTTGTTCGCTCAAATTACAAAGAAAATACCCCTCCCAGGTCCCAGCCCGCGTCACCCCATTCTTTCTGTTTCTTACATTGGCCTAATGAGGTTTGCGTTTACATCATTTACTGAACAATATACCATAGTAAGTTTCAGAGTACACAAGACCACATGGACATAACGCAGAGACCATGAACATCACTCCTAGTAGTATTTGACAGCAACCAAATGAGCATCTAAACATCAAAACTCAGGTCCTTTCTTGGTCTCCAAGTCCTTTTTGTATGCTGCCAGGTTGAAAATTGTTTGAGAAATTCTTGTTGATCAAGAGAAAGTTAGAATTATTCAGATATGTTCACTACAGAAGTTGACCTTTTACTTTATACTTGAATTCGGATCACA